GGTGCATACATGTCATACAACCCACCTTGCCTAGCTTACAAGGTACCATCCAAAAAAGGTTCCGGAACTCCATTCTGGGCGTTCTATGACAAAAAAAAGCCCTGCCTATTCCTATCTTAATGAATATAATTGGAAAATCTCTTGTTCTTTAATGTGTAGGGTGAGGAAATTCATTAGTAATCCTGGAATGCCAGAAGCCCTAATTCTTTAGTTTTTCTCATGGAATGCTACTTTTTTTTTTAAAATGCATTCTATCCTGGAATGTAAGCTGATGTAAATATAACTGTAAACTGCAAATTCCAACAACTCAGCCAGTGGTTTCATCCAACTGTATAAATATGGTAGTCCACTACCTGATAGCCAAAAGAGGGAAAAACTCTAATTCTCGCTATCTACTAGGGGTTGAGAGGTCAATAATCATTTTGGAGAAATGTGGAAGCCCTGAAATTGACTAGACTATCCACTTAATTGAAAATGTGACTGAAAGGTGATGGTCTTGCATTTGTCTAGCCTAGGCAGAAAAGAATTCCCTTTCCAATGTTCATCACTGCTCTTGGGAAAATTGTGATTCCTCAGTTTTTCTGCTTATGTAATTTAGTTTGAAAAGTGTGGTGTATCATTGAAAATGGCCTGGTACAGATCAAACTTCAAAATATACCCATGTTTTTTTCTCCTACCCTTTTTTATGATCAGAGCAGTGTATATGCTGTCATTTGGAGAAACCCATGTGCACAGGTCGGCAACCTGCGGCTCCGGAGCCGCATGCGCCTCTTTGAGCCTTCCCCGGTGGCTCCCAGCCTCCTCTGCCTTTGCAGAGAGAGACAGAGAGAGGCAATTGCGCTTCCCTGCTTCCTTCTCTCTCTCTCTCTCTCTCTCTCTCTCTCTCTCTCTCTCTGTGTGTGTGTGTGTGTGTATGTGTGTAAAAGATTGCACTCACAGTGTTCTCCGAGGAGCTGAAAAGCTTTCTAGACGGAGCTCCTCCCTTTGCTGCGTCTCTGCAGGAAGCAGGAAGGGCAGGAGAGAGCTAGCTAGCCCAGCTAGGCTGACTCAGGAATTCTGGGAGTTGAAGTCCATGAGTCATAAAAGAGACGAGGTTGCCTACCCCTGAGCTTGTTGGACAACAGGTTGAAGCTTGCCAGGTGAGCAGCAGATAGGAGAGAGAGAGAGAAAGAGAGAGAGGGGGGGAGGGAGAGAGAGGAAAGAGAGAGAGAGAAAGAAAGAGAGTGGGGGAAGAGGAGTGGCAGGCAGACCAAGGGCAGATAGAGAGGGAGGGAGAGAGAGACAGACAGAGAGAGAGAGAGAGACCCTTTTGACATCTAAAATGAAGATAACACTGCATATATCCTTTTTTTACCTGTATGTGTATGTGTATGTATGTGTATGTATGTGTATATGTATATATATATATATATATATATATATATATATATATATATATATGTGTGTGTGTGTGTGTGTGTGTGTGTGTGTGTGTATACATACATACACACACACACACACATATATATACACACACACAAACACACACACACAAACACACACACACCTATAATAAAGGTAAAAAAGGATATATGCAGTGTTATCTTCATTTTAGATATCAAAAGGATTTTGCGGCTCCCGGTGTTTTGTTTTTGGTGGGAAATGGGTCCAAGTGGCTCTTTGAGTGTTTTGGGTTGCCTACCCCTGCCCATGTGGAACTAATAGAAAACAAGTTTTTTCCATTCACCAAAGTACCGTTCTTGAACTCTGACTCCAAGAACATTTATGCAGCAGATGCATCTGGATTACATATATCTGGATGACCACTATTTTACAGTTAAAGAGATGAAGAATTTGCTGCCTGTGCTCCCTTGGCATATAGCCATCCTGACCACATGATCACAGAAAATATCTTTGGACAATGTTGGTTCCCTCAGCCAAGAAACAGAGATGAGCTCTGCATCGTAGAGTCAGACATGACTGGACAGGGGAACCTTCACCTTTACCTAGTGGTGGATAAGCTAAATGTCCTCTAGGGGAGGTGGGGAAAGAGGGTTGGGTGGGAAAATGAACTTTCAAAGCACCCACCAACTTAGCCCACATTCTGCATGGGAATTGGTGGTGGATTTCCTCAAGTTCTACATTCAGCCAGAGAAAATTGCTAGCCATTATTCTTAAGTATCAAGTTGAGAAGTAAATGGACAGTGGCACAGGATAACCTGTTTAACTATTCTTTAAGAGCACATTGTGCATCTTTGATAATCTGCTATATAAAGATGAACACGGTTTAGGTCTGGAATAATTTAAAAAATAATATTGTTTGCTTTAACAAAGTACGATTCATTGCAGCAAAAATCCAGCAGGAAATTGGTGAGGTTGTGGGACAAAACTGTCAGCCCTCCATGGAGGATAAGATAAAGCTGACCTACACCAATGCATTCGCTCATGAGATGCTACGTTTTCAGCCTGGGAGTAGTGAGAACTTCCCACGTACAGCAACCCAGAATGTGATTTTCAAGGGACACTTCATCCCTCAGGTGTGAAAAAAATCTCAAAGTCTGGGATCCTCTTTGTCCATAGATATGTATCTATAATTGCAGTATATATGCTATAATTGCTGCATATACTTTCCGAATACCATTTGAATTTTAGGCCGCTGGATTTTACAGGATGTTCTATTTGCAAAGGGAAATGTTATTCATAGTTCTAGACATTTTCCATTCTGCAGAGTTTTATTGATTTCCTTTAAGGTTCTTAGCTACAAAAATTAATTATTTTCTGCTTGTACAAGAAACTAAGGAATTTTAGAAAGGTGATTAATGTTTTTTTATTGGTAAACCTTTATTCATAACATAATTATGGAAATCTTCTCCCAGAATGGAAAAAGGAAGCAAAACTATCAGTAAAAATAATGGATTAATGAATTTAGCTTGCCTCTATTGGATTCTAAAATTCTGCCTTCCTGATAGAAGAAAAGTTATATTTTATAGGAGTACTGAATCTGATTTTCATTTTGATATCTGCAGGTATTTCAGCATAAATGCTGAAATAATAATTTGTTTCCCAAATAAATGATAATTTTTTGCAGTTTTTGCAGTTTTTAAAACAGGTAATTAATTTTGAGAGAGAAAAATATACAAAGAATGGAAATGAGTATGGAAAAAATCTATTTCTAGTCGCTTTCCCTCCCTCTACAGTTTTGCAGAAACCACATGTAAAATATCATCTATAAAATATAATTAAAATTTTATACACAATGAAAATATTTTTTTGTATATAGTATGAAGTTGTAAAATAATATAATGGAAGATTTATGTCAGATTACAGAAGCTATTGATATTATAAGCAGAACATAATATGAATATAAGTAATATTAGAAAGCTAATGTGTAGTGGTTAAAACACCAAACTAGAATCTGAGAGGCCATGGGTTCTAGCGCCACCTCGGGCAAGAAGGTGGCACTAGGTGACTTTGGGCCAGTCATTTTTTTCTCAGCTCTAAGAAGGGGGTAATGGTGAGCCACTTCTGAAAATCCTTGCCAAGAAAGCTGCAGGGACTTGTCCTCAAAGTCTCAGAGAATTAGACACAATTGAATGGAAGAAAAAAATAATAAAGCAATGCTTTAGAAACTCCTCTGTTAAAAGAAGAGCCTTTCTGAAGCACTGGCTCCTATGTTTTTGGTTTCTAATTAAAACTCTGTTTGGTATCCAAATTTCTTTTTAAAGTTTCAAACTTCTCAATGTTATCATTTTTATTGTCATTGTATAAAATGCCATATAATTAAATATAGTTACATTCTATCTCTACAGGGATATAGCAACAGTACACTTCAACACATGCAGATTGGATCTCTCAACCTCAATTGTCAGTCAGAAGATATGACAAAAGTTATTAAATTTCACAATATACAGGCAAGTTCAACCACGATTTCACTAAGAAACTTTAGATGTATTAGAGATCAAAACAGGATTCAGAATGCAACAGAATTCCTAGAAGTTGGAACTTGAAAAATGAACTATCATCAGATAATACAGTAATAAATCTAATTGATAAATCATTCCAAAAGGAACAATAAAGTGGAAAGCATGAGGCAACAGCCCTGAATAAATCTTCCCCATTACATACGCTTTAATTACTCAAATAAGCAGGAACAGTCAAGGAAAGACAATATCCCCAAATCCACAGAATGCTGTAAACAAGAAACCAATTAATTTCCCCACTTCAGAGTGCTGATGACATTATTAATCTGATAATGAAATGTCTGCAAAAAAAAAAAAAAAACAAGCTGAAAGGAAGGTCTGCCAGAGAATGGTGAAGGCCGAGTATAACATTATCAGTGAGCAACTGTAATAGGCTAAGTAGGCACCCATTGTGTCTGTCCTAGCCTTATGTAATGATTTGGGATGGTTTAATCCCTCAACCTCATTCTCAATAAAGAGCACAACAGAGAAATGTGTCAAAGTCACTAAATAAAAATGGTGCTGATATGCCAAGGCAGCACAATATTAACACAAGTAGGGGCCATTTCTAAAATAATTCAGAATAAGGTCTTTTTTCTGATGAAGAAAAAAACGAAATCTTTTCTCAAGAATTTTTAATAACATCACTCCAATTTATGACTAAATTTGTTTTGGTAACTTAGATAACAACAGTGAAGCTTCAGAATTTAGCAATTACCTTGAATTCTACTTGTAATCTGAATGTTATAAAATTTAATAATTCAAATTTGGATAACTATAGATTATGTTTGTGAAACATAGAAGACAATTCAATCTTGTTATGTTTTTAATGCAATTAATATAATTTTCTGTAAGGTGTTTAAAAGTGAGAATATGCATTGGTCAATACCAGGCATGGAAAAACCTTGTAACTTGCATCAATGATTTTTTTTTTTAAATCTTCCAAGAATTCACATTTATGAAAGAATTAAGAACAGTCTGTTTCTTTATGGGGAAAAGCCTCACCTTTGCTCTTTGTATCTTTTTGTCTCCTTAAAGGGTACAACTGTTCTTCCATTGTGGGCTTCAGTGCATTTTGATCCTCTCTGCTGGGAAAATCCTAAAACGTTTGACCCAAGTCATTTCTTGGATAAGAATGGTGACTTCCTAAAGAAGGATGCCTATTTGCCTTTCTCTGCAGGTAACAGAGGTGCTATGGCTGATTTAGTGATCTGGGGTCTTCAAGGTTGGCCAGTTACCTGTAAGGTTGCTGAATTTATACTTCACCTATGGTGATGAGTGATGTTCTTCCTGCCTGCCCTTCCCACTACCTGTATTAGTTTCAGATGAGGCTGCCCAGAACATGCATAGGTAAATGGCGAAATCACCGAGAGAATCTGATTGAATCATGAAGGAGAATTTTTAGTCTTTTAGAACCAGAAGATATACAGTGGCTGCTAATCAACTCCTCCACTGAAGGAGGACTTTTCTTCAAAAGCCACAAGTAGACATAGAGCAGGGATCTTCAAACTTGGTCCTTTTATGACTTGTGGACTTCAACTTCCAGAATTCCTCAGCCAGCGTGCCTGGCTGAGGAATCCTGGGAGTTGAAGTCCACAAGTCATTAAAGGACCAAGTTTGAAGACCTCTGTCACAGAGCAAGGAGAGAAATGCAGATCGTGATAGGACCAAAGCACTGGGAAACATTAATATTTTCCTCTTTGCAGTTTTCCTGATGCTGTTTCCTTTTCCCTAGTTTCTTTTTAAAAAGTGTTTATTAACAGTTTTAAAGATAACATAAAAAATTAATAGAGCCTAAAAAGAAAACAAAAACAAAAAAGAAAAAACAAAAGTGCAGGAAAAAAAAGAATGAATTTTTTTAAAAAAAAAAACCTTCCAATTTCTTTTGCAGCATATACAAGTATGATTGCAATGTTATCTCCTTAAAAATTGAGAAAACTCTCACTTTTTTCTATTATCCATTTTTTCCCTAATAATTGAAACCATGAGTCATTTTAGCCTATGAGGTTTCCATACAGCCATAAATGTAGCCATTGACTTTTTTCTAATCAAAGAAATTAATTTAGTTATCTCTGCAAGTTCCATCATCTTTACCAACCATTCCTCTATTGCGAGTAATGTTTCCAATATTGGGCTTATAATAATCTTGCTGCAATTGTCATATATAAAAACAAAGTTCTGTGACTAATTCTAGTTCCTTATTTTTGTTACTCTGTGAAGAGAAGAGCAGAGAGGAGAGGCTTCCACCTGCTGTAGGGTGGAGAAATTGAGGCAGAGAGTTAGTGCCTCTTCCCAGTGCTACATAGTCTTGATATGTAGCCACCCCTTCCCTCTGCTGGCTAATTTTATGATTCCAGGAAGATGCAGAAAACCTGATTATGATTCCCTTGCTCTTGTATCTAGTTTGGTCTTAATGTAAAAAGCAGAAATCTAATTTACTAAAATGCTCCAAGAACATTCAAGTACCTGTTATAATCTTTCTCCCCAAAAGCAGATATCTCTTTATTTCATGATTACAAACTATGTTTTGAAACTGGAATAAAATCTGTTACTGCTACAGTTTCCTCTCCATTGACTTGCATTGAGTTGGCATTGTCTGTAGATATAATCTAATTTTTTTCTTAAAAAAATATTAAGCAGGAGAGTAGGTTTTGCACTCTCTAGGTTAATCTTCAATAGGAGTCTTCTTCAGTCTTTTTCATTTGCAGTCATCAAAGTGGTTTCAATGGCTCTCCCTCGAAACCATTACAGCATGGCCTTCTCACTTCTCAAAATAAAATGTTGCTTGGCATAAGCCCTCCTTTTTATAGCTTCTCTAGCAACTATGTTCTGAGCCAGTGCTCTTCAACATCTTCATCAATGATTTGGATGAGGGGATAGATGAGGAACTCATTGAATTTGCAGACGGCACCAAGCTGGCAGGAATAGCCAACACTCCAGAAGACAGGCTTAAGATACAGGAGGATCTTGACAGAATTGAACACTGGCACAATCTAATAAAATGAAGTTCAACAATGAAAAAAGTAAGGTTCTACATTTCTTCTTCTTCTAGTGTCATATCTGTTATCGGACGTTGGCGATCATGTTGGCGATCCTGTTTTTATCAGCAGCCGCACGAAAAAGTGCTGCTGAGTTTTGTCCAAACCAGTCCCTTAGATTTTGAAGCCACAATGTTCTTCTTCTGCCTGGACTTTGTTTGCCTTCAATCTACATTTAGGCAAGAAAAATCAAATGCACAGGTATAGTATAGGATAGTGGTTCTCAACCTTTTTAATGCCGCGACCTCCAACTGGTCGTAAGTCGAGGACTACTCAACCAGTTGTAAGTCGAGAACTACTCAACTGGTGCAGCACCATTTGCAGAATGGGACTTTTGGCGGGTTCAGCAGGGCAGAGACAGCCTGGACAATTCCTATTGGCTTTTGAAAGCCAATAGAATTAGACTCTATTCAAGAGAGACTATTCTATTGGCTTTCAAAAGCCAATAGAATAAAAAGGAGTAGCACAGCTAAGGAAAAGGGGGGGAAATGGCGGACTGCGTTGTTTGGTGACCCCCGTGAAATGGTCGTTCGACCCCAAATGGGGTCCCGACCCACAGGTTGAGGACCACTGGTATAGGAGGTACCTTGTTCAATAGTAGTAACTGTGAGAGGGATCTCAGAGTCCTAGTGGACAGTCACTTAAATATGAGCCAGCAGTGTGCTGCAGCTGCCAAAAAAGTCAACATCGTGCTAGGCTGCATTAACAAAGGAATAGAATCAAGATCACATAAAGTGTTAATACCACTTTACAATACCTTGGTAAGGCCACATTTGGAATACTGCATCCAGTTTTGGCCACCACAATGTAAAAAATGTTGAGACTCTAGAAAGAGTACAGAGAAGAGCAGCAAAGATGATTAAGGGACTGGAGACTAAAACATACAAGGGATGGTTGCTGGAATTGGGTATGTCTAGTTTAATGAAGAGAAGGAAGAGGGGTGACATAACAGCAGTGTTCCAATATCTCAGGGGTTGCCACAAAGAAGAGGGAGTCAAGCTATTCTCCAAAGTACCTGAAGGCAGGACAAGAAGCAATGGATGGAAACTAACCAAAGAGAGAAGCAACCTAGAACTAAGGAGAAACTTCCTGACAGAACAATTAATCAGTGGAACAACCTGCCTCCAGAAGCTGTGAATGCTCCAATACTGGAAGTCTTTAAGAAGAGGTGCTCTTGAAGAACACATTCTCAGTTTCTAGTGACATTGCTCTCCAAAATCTTGGCAAGTGCTATGGGAGGATGTGCCATTCACCTATTTACAAAAGTTAAAAGTTCCTGCTTTAGATGCAGCTTTGCAGAGGAAATGACATGCAGAAAAATGGGAAACTTCATCAGACCAGATCATGTGGCCTTTTTGCTTCAAAAAAAAAAAGAATTGTGTCATCTCCATGGCACAATTTTCTTTGCCAGTGTGAATGTAAATCATATAGGTCTACAGGGCAGTTATCTGGGTAATATTGTTAGGTCTTGCCTGTCAAACAAGTTTGTCTGTATTTCTTTTTAATTATTATTATGGTTGGTTGCACACAATCAGCCAGATATTTAGACTGAATTTGACATTCTTGTCCATTTATCGATTTTTTCCCAAGGACCTTGGACAGGCAGATGTTTTTGTCTGATGGTGTTAAAGGCATCATTGCAGGATGTAAGCTGTTCCAAGTAAAGCTGCCTTTTACTTGTGATTGTGATTTTGTCAGTGCCGATGGTGTTCAAGTGGTGCTCTAGTTATTTTGGAATTGCACCCAAGATGCCTATTAGCATTGTTACAGTCTTTGCTTTCTTTTGCTACAAGACTTTTTAATTCTGTGTGCAGTTTTTATTTAAGACCTGATTTTCTCCAGGTCTTTCTCTTCTCTTCTGCTGTCTCCAGGCACTGTTACATCCATTATCAAAAGACTTTGTCTTTTTTATCAATAACTGTTACCCCTTGGGTGTTATGTTGCACGTGCTTATCTGTTTGAATTCAAAATCCTAAAGCAATTTAGTGCTTTCGTTTTCTATGACTTTGTCTGTTTTATAGTCCTACCAGTTCTTGCTTGCAGATAAATGGTATTTTTTGCTGACCTTCCAATGCACCATTGCTGCTACTTTGTCATGCCATTGTTTGTAGTCAGTCTATGTAATTTTCTTGCAGCAGATACTGTCTGTTGTGTTCTTGTGCAGTCAGAATTAGTCTCTTTCTTAAATTTTTCTGTTGTTAGTCATTGCCAGGTCTTGTTGTTACTTGCTTTGCCAGCTATTCTCTCTTTTTTTAACGTACTGGCCATGTCATACTTTGTCTTGCCATGTCATTTTTATATTCTTCATTTGGCCTTTCTTGTAGATCTGCTAATCTAAGATGAAGCCTTACTTTCTGAGTAGCATAAGGACAGTGGATAATTAACTTGTTTCTTTGTTTGCATCCCCCTTTATTATTTTTAGAAATAACTCAAGATGGCAAACATAACCAACACTCTTGTCTCCTATTTATCTTCTTTTTTTCTTTTTACAGAGAAGAGAGCATGTCCAGGAGAGGCATTGGCTAATATGGAAATCTTCATATCGTTTACTAATCTGCTTCAGAAGTTCACTTTTGAATTCAATGCAGACCCTAAAGAGATAGACTTAGATTACTTGGTTATGGGCTGTAGGGATAATGGGAAGCATCGGTACATTCGGGCCATCAAACGTAAAATATAAATTGTCTCAAAATATATTTTTTCCTCTATCTCAGCCCTAAATATCTAATGCTGTATTCAAAGTTTCAGAAATTAATGAGTGTTGAAAAGTAAAAGCATTGAAAATATATTTCAGGAAATGACTGTTCTGCTACAAATATCACCATCACCACCACTACTATTACTTCTCCTGATGTTCGAATTTTGATTTCACCCAGAGAATCTGATTCACAAAAGCACAAACTTTTTCAGGCTAAAGACTGCTTTTAACCTTTCAGTGGTATGACAGGACCTTAACCCCAATTTTAGACTGAGTGGAACCATACCAAAAATTAAGATTTATTGAATTCGAATGTAATAATAATAATAATAATAATAATAATAATAATAATAATAATAATAATAATAATAGTAAAGTTGGAAGGGACCTTGGAGGTCATCTAGTCCAACCCCCTGCTCGGGCAGGAAACCCTACACCATTTCGGACAAATGGCTGTCCAGTCTCTTCTTAAAAACTTCCCGTGTTGGAGCATTTACTGCTTCTGGAGGCAAGCTGTTCCACTGATTAATTGTTCTCACTGTCAGGAAGTTTCTCCTTAGTTCTAGGTTGCTTCTCTCCTTGATTAGTTTCCACCCGTTGCTTCTTGTCCTGCCTTCAGGTGCTTTGGAAAATAGCTTAATTCCCTCTTCTTTATGGCAGCCCCTGAGATATTGGAATAATTAACATTTAAGAATTATTTTAAAAAATATCATTAAAAATGCAGTTTGGCAGCCTTTTATGAAATCGTTTCAGTGACTCTTACAACCAAAATCTAATCAATGCTTCCTTGTCTCTGTTGAAATGCACAGACACCATAGTACAGAATCATAGTTTCGTAATTTGAATCATATGTAATATAACTTTTACTGATTTCAATGTAATGTGAGAGTAGCTTCTTACTATTATCTAAAGCAAATATTTTTTTTGACCTCAATGCTCATTGTGCTTGTTTATTTAGCCAAAAGTACAAACAGTATGAACAAAATGAAACTTATAGGTACTGTATATCCTTAACCTTAGACATATAAGAAATTTCTAAAACCATACCTACAATTTTTCAAATGACTTCACAGGATTTTGTAGCCTGGTGGCTAAAGGAAAAAAATCTCAAAAGGGATGAGGGTGAATTCACAATGTGGGAAGTCACCCCCCCCCCAGAGAAGGGAATATTAAAAGGACAGAATATTATATTTCCTCAAAGGATCTTAAAGAGGCAGAAAAGCATGCCCAGTTTTTCTTAATAGCCCCAAGTCTCCCTCTCCCAAGCAGAAACCAGCTCTGTAGAAATGCAGATATAATAAGGTTGGAACCCTTCAGCTAGAAGCTTAGGGAGACAAAGACACCTAAAATCTACATACTCTACCCAAACTCTAAGATAGGACATAATAGGATTAACCCACAGATGCCAAAGGGGCACACTCAGACTGAGGTCAAAGTACATGACACAGGAAATACAAAGCCTCAAACAGGAACAGGAAACAACTCCAAACAAAAGCCCAAGAGGGTATAAAAACCCACTCCCTACTACATGTGCTCTCTCTTTTCTTCCAGAGCCATCTTTCTGTCTGGCTCTTCTCTTCAATAAACTACAACCTTCTTTCTAAAGCAGTCACCATGTTGTTTATTCCTGGCTTGGACTGGACCCTGATGAAGACTTTTCCTTCAACAATAAGAACATCAATTTAAACAGAATGTGAAGATAGTTCTCCCCCATTGAAAATGGTTAACAAAAAAGACTCATGTCTCATAGAGAGACCAATTGTGGATTATTTACATGAAAAACTAATAAACAGTTGGAAAAAACCTAATAATTTTATTAGATGCCATATAAAAATAGAGGTGCTTATTCTTAAAAGCATCCAGATACATAATAGATGTCTAGAGGAAAGCTGAAGCAGAACATTTATTGTTAAGTCCTCTCAGTAATGATGAATGATGAAGACACATCTTTGCAAGGAACACTCTTTATTACGTTTCAGCCAAAACTCCAACAATGAGCAAGGCATGCAGGCCTCCTTTTATATGTCCCAAATCCCCGGACATAATGGCAACATCGTCAGGCACTTTTCGCACCTTGCGCATGTCGGCGCCACTCAGTCTGGTCCCGGGCAGCTTCTGCAAAGCCCAGGAACCCTTGCAACATCCCGAGCCTGCATTTGCAGGCTCAGGACACAACATTTATCATAGACAAGGTAAAGCCATAACATATTAATCTTTGACTGTTATTGGTAAGAGCCTTAAATGTGGCCTATTTGAATGATGTCAGAGATGGAAAACTGGCATTCTAGTGATGGATGGATTTCTGGTTGAATTTTACTTGTGCTTTCCCCCTCCAGCCACAACTTTTCATAAACCGATACCAGATAGGCTGTGCTACAGTTGAGTTTTTAAGTTAGAATACACCTGTGTGAGCATATCTTACAATCTGTTTCAAATTGATATAAATCTTTTAAGAGATGTCAGATCAAAAGTAATGGTCAACATGTGGGAGAAAGCAGACCCCCAGTTAATTACTGGCATATTTAAGGGGAAGAAAGGGAAGCAAAAGAGAAAGTAAAATATTGAGAGGCTGATTGTGGGAAAGAAAGCAGGAAGCAAGAAAGGTGCTGGATTAAGAACTTGGAAAGAAAGACACTACAGCAAGCTCAGTACTACAAACTGTTGGGGTGTAGTGTGACCTGTTTCTCAGTACCTGATCAAAACTATGTCAGTTCCAACAAGGAAGCCTGTCTCTCATTCAGCCATACTTGCTGCCAGCCAGATTCTCCAAAGGAAAACATTTAATTTAACAAAAGATACTCATAAATGGCCTTGACTTTTCTAAAATTCATATAATTTTAATGGCTGTATCTTGAATCATTGGCACCATCAAACTAAGTTTGAGACAATTCTGTTTTGTTTCCGATTTGCTTTGGAGGAGACATGAAATGAATCTGACAAATGGAGAAAAAATGACTGCCTTCCGTTCATTTATAAAAATTGAATCAATGAATATTACTGACTTTCTAAGACTTCTCCATCTAGGATTTCATGATTTCCAAGATAACATTAGTCCCAGTCATCTAACATCCAGCTTTTTAGATCTTCAACATCTGACATTTAACAGATAATAAATAGTTAACAGATAATCTGATGGTGTTAAATTCTGAAGCTGATCGTTGTTTAATTCCATTTCCTGCTTTGTATTAAATCCTTGATGCGCTTTGTGTAACGGAACTTACATGGTACGCTTACTGCAAAAGTTTCTACAGAGGCACATTTTAGAAGAATTACGGTAGCAGCTGGGTCTCCTAGGCGTTTTAAAAAAAAGCGTTCCAACAACAGAAACTACCCGCGATTTCTATCAACAGTTTTGGCTGTTGCCGCTTGGCATCGTGTTAGAGTTAGGCAAGGGGAGATTAGGAGGCTAGTTGGATTTACCAGTTGCTCCAACTAGTGACTTCCTTTGTGAATCAGAGATTGCTGTCATGAAGACCCCGTCAGTTGCGGAGGTTGAGCCAGATATCCTAGAATATAAGTTAAAGTATACCCCAGACCTAAGATGCGAGAAGCAAACAGACTTGGTTCCAGTTTGTTATAGCTGCAAATCCTGCATCCTGTCCTGGAAGATTTTTTCCACCCGGGAGTGGTTTGTGCGTGCCAGCCAGGCAACTCAGAGGACGTTCGTGGTGGGGATCATCAACCGATTCGAAAGTCACGACCTCCTGAAATACTCCTGGAACCTCCTAGAGGCTATCGATACCAAGGATTTTATCTATTCCCGTTCCTGCATCAGCTCCACCTTCAGAGCCTCTTCTGCTCTGGATCGGGCAATGGATCCACAGAAACTGGTACAATCAATGGCGGATCTTTGGCGATGGTTCTTAGGCGCCTCTTTCTGGACCAAAGCAAACTACATACTTCTTTTGCTGCAAATGTGCGACTCGCAGTTGCTGCTGACGGCTGCTACTCTGATTCGTATCCACTTAACTGAACACGAGAGTGCCACGTCTGAAAACATGGGAGAAGGTAAATTTCGCTATCTGCCAGAACTGCAGGAGCTATTTTTGGCATCCAGCGGGGGGGGGGGGGGGGGGGGGAGGTGAAATGGCCAATGTTTTAGTTGTTGATCTTCCCCATCAGGTCTAGTAGTTAAAGCAGCAGGCTAAAAAAACTGGGAGACTGAGTTCTAATCCTGCTTTGGGCTGCAGCTGCAAGCCTAAGGAATGACTGTGTCAGCCACTTTCTCTGGGCTCACCTCACCTGGTCGTTATTGTAGGGAAAATAGGAGAAGGAAAGAGTATTAGGTATGTTTGCTGCCTTGAACTATTTATTAAAATAATAAAGATAGTATTAAAATCTAATAAATAAACTAACAAAGTTTACCCAAGGCGTTATCCCATTTTCATCACTGACAATATCCAATGATCATCAGTTAGCTTGCAGCATTGCAATGTATAATACTTATAATACAATCCTATATCTGCTATTCAGGGAAAAATACACTGAGTGCAAAAGGAATGATTCCATGGTAAATAAGTATATACTGTATATATATAATGTGATTGCAGCATAAATTGATATTCAAAAAATAAATTATAGTATGGATTATAGTTACCTGTAATAATTTACATTCTCAATTTTTGGAACACCACATTCCCACCAGACTCCTCATGATAGATTGCAAAGCATAAAACACAAAAATTAAAATAAAATTGAGTGCCATCAAGTTATTTTTTACTCCTAGCAACCACTTAGATATATGTGATGAGGATCTATCCCAAACCTGTTTGTTCAAGTTTCCTAACAATGCACTACTGGAACTGAATCCATCCACCTTGTTGCTAGTTCTCCTTTTCGTCTTTTTCCTTCCATTTTCCCTAACATTGCAGCCTTTTATTCTGTGTTATGATGAATTATCAAAATTATGCTAATACTAGGATCTCTTATTGATAATTTCTAATCCTTACAAGCTCTCCGGAACTTCATTTTTGTCACCTTCCTAAATACTGGGAAGGAGGGTGCCACCTGGATTTCCTGGAGGGAGGCTGTTCATAGGTTGTCTACTTATACGTTTCAAAAATAATGTTCAATATTGTTTACACATTTACATTTAGAAGAGAATATTTGCAGCTCAGGTTGAACTGTGGGGCCCTTGGTGCTCTCTGAGGTTGCTGTCGGGTAATGAAATGTCTACAAGAAAACAGCCAAGTTCAGAGAGTGTCAAGGAGCCACAATAAAACACATTTGTTGTATGCTACCCAGAGTGACTTATTTTGTGAGACGAGTGGTTATATAATTTTTTTAAAAAAGATTAAATAAAACATATTTTCACAATTTTATTTCCATATTTTGTCTGTCTTATGTTCAGCATTTCTTAAGGTATACACAAAATATAACTTTTTTTCTCAGAATATGCATTCTGTCATGTCACTGTTCCAAACGTGTATTCTTGTGTATATAATTTTTGAGCCCAGAAATATTGTGAGATCAAGGGTAGTAAACTAAAAAAATTACTTGTTTGTTCAAACTCCTGTGAGGGGAACTTGTGCCAGCCTGTTCTGTGGTGAGCTCAACCTTATTTCCATTTTCTGCCAAATGTCCAATCATAACTAGAAGCCTTTATCTGGCTGTTCCCAAGAGAATCCAACTAGTCTAGGAGATTCTTGTAAATAAGTAAGCAATAATAAAGAAGCAACTCTTTACGATGTCACTCTCATTCCTTGCACCTGACATGCTATCTGGGACTGAAACTTGGGGTCTGGAATATCTGAAGGATATCAGATTATTTTTTCCTATTCAAGTGCTGTAAAGCAATATGGCATAGTATATAAGTCTAAGTGCTATGCTTTTACTAAGTGCCCCAATCTCAGTGAGAGAGCTGAAGAACAAGAAGTTGGTTCCTCTTGTCCTCCCACCTGGAATAGTATTTGTGTAATGGTTTTGCTTTCACTTTCATTTAGTTCTTGCTCAATTATTTTCATCTTTCAATCTATGACAGAAGAAGAATATGTAAAGCAGAGCAAATATGACATGCGTCCTCTTGTCCCCATGAAATCTACTACAGTTTCCCAAATGGCTGAAAACCAGTTTCTTTCAAAAGCAAGCAGTGTGTTTGGTATGGTTTGATTTTTATGTATAATATATACAATATGTAATGTTTTAACGTGTAGATTTCTTCATGTCGACACATTTATATGGATAACAACACTATTATTTTCATTGTGTAAACGGAATTCCCAGTGCAGTATGGTCAATCTATGCCCACATCTGGATTTGTTCTATTTGTCAGCATGGGTTTCCCATAAGGAAATAGAAATTTTATTTTGGATTAGATTGAAGACCTGTATATAACTTGGTCCCACAATGGCTAATTACTGCACATGTACAAGTGAAGCCTGTGCAAAGGAAATGAATTATGTAGCATATTTCTCCCCACAAGCATACGTCTTACGTTCCCTTAACATAGATTTAACATAAAATGATAATAAGCATTAGTAAGTAAGGTGATAAATACTATGGATTTGGATAGCTTATGAGTGACTTGCGTGGTTAGGACATTGGCTTGACAAGCAGCAAGCTTGTGTTTGAGACCAGAATGCTGCCATGGAGCAGGGTGAGCTCCAGTCCTTTGCTCCAGCTCCTTCAGAGACATGGGGAAAAAAAAAAAACAATTGCCGTACATCAGCAATGATGATTTCGCCGGCTAACCCTTTCAACTCGGAAGTGGCTTAGTGCTTCCGATACAAGTGCAGTATGATAGCTTATTGAAATGTTTTTCAAACTTGGCAATTTAAGATGTGTGGACTGGCTGAAGGATGGAAGGTTGGCTTGGGAATTCTGGAGTAGAGGTCCATGCATCTTCAAAGTTGTCAAGATTGAAAAAATGCTGGTTTATTGGCAGAAGGTTAACAGGACGCTAGCTTACTTGCCTCCTCAACCTCTCTTCTAAGAGGGGTAGGCCTATATCACTTTACTGCACCTGGTTAACAATGTGGGATCCAGTAGTCCATCTATGAATCACTCAGGTTTTGCATTTGGGTTCACTAATATCTTATTGCCCTTGCACATTATAGCTTGTACCTTGTTTTGTTTTTTTCTTTTCACCCTTACCACAGGTAATATCCGTGTACACAAGATTTGGTCCAAACAGTCAGAAAGTATCTTCAAAAAAGCACTGTGTGACCTGGAAAATGAGACTAACTATTTTTCAATGCTGACCCTGCACCCAATCACTGCACCTGCTTTTCCTCAGCAGTCCCCCAACAAATTTAGAGATTTCATCCGGTATCTGCCTGTCCACTTATCAAAATCCATTTTGAGTAAGGATCTTTTATCTCCTCAACCTTTCTAGGGCTTCTCTTCAATAGGCAGTGGCTCTTCAATGGGATGCTTTGCTTTTAGGAGCCCATTCAATCAACTTAGCTTCCTAGCTGACTGCAACAGTGCTGAATGCTCCAGTTCTTCAGAGGTTAACAAGTATGCAAGTAGATAAACAAAGCAATCAAAGGGGGCATGGAGAGGGAAAAGCAGGGATTGAACTGTCCAGTATTTTTCCCAGATCCAGAGATCTAAAAGGGCTATATTGACAACACAGGAGAGTGGTAGGAGAGATTAACAGGCTAAAGATACGAGAGATAGGAAGAACGTTTGGCAAGATAAAAATAATCTAGGTTACATGGAGGTTTGGGAAATATTTACAGGATCTGCCCAGCTATTCAGCTGGCTTTAAAGTCACTTCTTGATGGAAGCCCTAAAATACTCTAAAATCAAGAACCGTCACTGCTGAGTCTGAGAAATTGTGAAAACTGTTCAGGCTTGTAAGAGTGATGGTTAATTTTATTGGTTGCATTTATTGTTTTAAAACCGTTGATGTCCGATGGAATCAGTCTTCAATTTAGAATCTGAAGTCTCTTGTGTTTATTTCAGTTTTGCTTTTGTTGTTATTGCTCTAAAGTCTCAGAGATCCAAAGAACTCATTTTGCTGCTTGCTTAATAAGACAATTCCTTTATTAACAACCTCTGAGAAACCTGGGAGGATTCTGCTTATACTGTAATCAAACCATTTTTAATTTATTGCAACTAGGGAACAAACTGGGCATCTCAGTTGCTACCCTGCTCTTCTGCTGACCTGATGAGACCCATAACTGATGAAAAAAAGAAAAAGAAATAATAGTTTTGGTCAAAATCAATATGCTTTTCTTTTGAATTTTCCAGGAATGTTGGACATGAAAACCTTAGCACGATGTGCCTCTGTAAATCCACATTGGAACTTTTTGGTCAAACAACTTAAGTGTGACGTAGTAGCAAATTATGCTCTCCGAAGTCAGATTTCATTTTTCCAGGTATGTGTAGTAAATTCATTTCCTCCTATCCAAGCATTGACATACATGGAGAAAATTCCTTCCTTGTGATTGCTTCATTAAAGAGCAGGGCTTTTTAGCTTTCAGGGTCCAGAAAGCTTCCTTTCCACTTAGCATTATTGTCCTCTTCTTCCTCCTCCTAGCTGCATCTGAGAAGGCAAATTTTAAGATTGACAGCTGACCAGCTTAACTCTGGAAGAACATTCCCATTGAACACATCTGCCTGACTTAATATGTTTATATTTAACAAATGTTCAATGACTTGCTATTCTTGTGAACATTATACTCATTCCCAATGAAATATTTGCCTTGCATTGTAGGAACTTTATAAACACTCAGCTCAATCCAGTCGCCCCGGCTCTGCCCCGAATTAAGGGATTACAGGGTCATAAAAAGGGATTGATAATGATTCTATTCTCTAGTATGGGTGTTTCCTTCCTCCAATTAACAATGGAAATTGTGACTGCGGGGCTGGTTTTACCATTAGTCACAGTGAAGCAACTGGCTCAGGCAACAACCAGCTCTTCTCTAATTTTGTTTGTTTGTTTGTTTATTAAATTTATGTGCTGCCCATCTTGTCCAGAGATGACTCTGGGTGGCTTACAAACATTAAAACTACAACATTGTCATGGTTCCAATAGATGAGACCAGTAAAAGCAGAACTCCAAGGCAAGAGATTTCCTTAAAGAACATGTGTATTGGCTACAAAGTATCAGCACTGTCAAAAGTGAAACCAACTTTGGAATTCCCTCCCAAGGGTAACAATGTTACAAAGTTGAACTTCCCACCCCAGTACTACGTAATTAACTACATTCCCCAATAGAATACTTTAGCGGGCTTTCTAATGGAAGGCTCAGCCTGTCAAGTCAGGCAGTGATGACCTTGGTTCCCACGGGGCAAATTATAACATTAAAAGCACCCCTCCCAGTACTGTGGCAACCAAAAACAAAACAAAAATGTCTTCAGCCAAGATCGTTGCAGTGTTGACAAACACATTAAAATAATAAAGAAAAAATAGCAATAGCACTTAGACTTATATGCCACTTTATAGCGCTTTACAGCCCTCTCTAAGCAGTTTACAGAGTCAGCATATTGCTCCCAATTATCTGGGTCCTCATTTTTTTCCGATCTCAGAAGAATAGAAGGTTGAATCAACTTTGAGACGGTCAGAATCGAACTGCTGGCAGTTAGCAGTATTAGCCTGCAATATTCCATTCTAACCACTGCACCACCATGACTCATAAAAAAGAGTAATAAATATTGTTAAGAGATGGGGAAGAGGGAAAACACAAAATACATGCGGAGAAGTGGGGTTTTTCATAATCCAATAACCACCTCCCAATTGGAGCTCTTGGCCAGTTGGCAGAGTCAGGTCTTCAGGCCCTTATGGAAGGCCAAAAGGGAGGGTGTGGATCTTACATCAAAGGGCATGATGTTACAGAGAGCAAGAGCCAAAGAACAAAAGGCTCTCTTACTATCGGTATGCTCCCTTCAAGTGTGGCAGAGAGTTCTGTTTTAGTGCCAGTCATCTGCCATTATTCCAACTGAATCTGCCCATCTCTCTTAACAGTAAATGTGATGTGGAAAACTTAATGAGGCCACAATTATACCTTACTCATCAATTGCTTGTTTCCTTGCTCTGAATTAGATGGATTGTTTTAAAATGATGTCAGTGCCAAAATCTCCCTGCACCATTAAATACAGTAGATTGAGCAAAGCCATCTCTAAATCTGATTTTGACTTTCCACAGACAGATGTGTACTGTATTTTTGTAGTGTTTTGGATTTACTCTTTCAGGGACATCTTTATTTAAGAAACTATATCCTGTGCGGTATTATGAATTTGTAATTTTGCTATTTGTTGCAGGCTTTATGTCCTAAAGGAGCAATTTCCACCTTTGCCAGAATAGTAAAGGTTGCTATTCCTCGCATAACATCAAATGGTGATATAATCCTAACCAAAACTAAGAAGCAATTCAAGGTAGATTGTGGATGTTTTTCCTTCCTGGAATTCCATGGACTGGTTGATGGGGAATTCCAGGACTTTACATAGTTATTATGTATGGGTGGTAAAGCCTAGTTGATTGTGCCTGGGCTTGGGAGTTAAGCATAGATGAGAAACCACCAAGGAATTCTAGGGCTGCAGATTAAATCAGAAAACCAAAAGATATCCTGGAAGATTTTAGTGGCAAATTACTTCTGTGCTATTCTCCACAAATCATGAATGAGTCCAGCAATGTTACTCTCAAAGGATTTTGATGATAATTTCTCACTGCTATGTGGCAGATGGAAACTATCAACATAGAAAGGTGAAGCTTTGCTGCCTTCAACTGTACTGTTTCTAAAAGGAGAAATGTCAATGTATAATTATGGGAATATGTGTGTGTGGGGGGGGGTCTTTTCCCGTGTAAGATTGAGAGTATCTTGGCGATGTTTCGACGAGGTCCCACTTGTCATCTTCAGGCTGGGGTCTTCGGCTTTGTGCTTGTGCGAGCAAAGTGTGATTGGAGCTCCCGTCTCCATAAATATTGGTGGGAGGTGTGGAGTGCTGGCTTAGTTGCTGTAGGTGGGTTGGTTGGCTGTATTGGAGTTATAGTTTGTGGATTGTTTGGCTGTTTCATAACATCCTGAGTAGCTGAGGTGCTGGCTGTGTGCCCATTAGCCTTTTGTGTTGTAACGACCTGGGTAATGGGCTGTGTGATAACCTCCTGAGATCTAGTGTAGTGATATCCTTAATTCTGTGTTGCAACATCCTGGGTGGTTGACTGTGTTGCAACATCCTGAGCTTTAGCGTTGTAACCTCCTGAGTTCTGTAGTGTGATGTCCAGAGCAGAAGGCTGCGATGTGACATAACGGGTTTTGGTTTGGCCCCAAGTTTGTGGTCTAGCTCTGTGTTCATGGCGTGTCTCCATTTGCTTTGTGTGGGGGTCGGAGGGAGGTGCAGCAGCTGGTGATGTCATCATAGTTTGGCTTCTGGATGATGGTTGCATTTCGTCTGAGGGATGGGTTTGGGCTTGGTTTTGGGTCTGGTGAGGGTGAATGGTGGTGGCATACTGTGTTGTTTTGGGTCCGGTGTCAGTTTTCATGGCTAGGACTCGTTTGTTGATTAGGGCTAGTTTCCAGATGTCTGGTAGGCAGGAGGTATCATCACGTTTATTCATGTTGTGGGGGTGTTTTTCTATTTTGATGGCTTCCATAATTATTCTCTTGTTGTGGTGTTCAATTTTGGAGATTAGTTTGGTTCCTTCAAAATCAATTTCATGTCCTGTAGCTTTAAGGTGCTGGAAGAGGGAGGAAGTTTTTTCTTCTTTTCTGACTGTGTTCTTGTGTTCTGCGATGCGTGCATTTATTCTCCTATTAGTTTGTCCAATGTATGTGGCTGGGCAGATTTCATAGACTCCTTGGTTTTCTAGCTGGATCATGTCTTTGGGGTTTCTTAAGATGTTGGCTATTTTTTGGTCGGGGCTGAAGGCTGTCTTGATATTTTGCTGATTTTATCTGTGGTGCCTTTGATGTAGGGGAGGAGGACGATGTCGTTGTACTATTCTATGTCTCGGTTCTTGGGGGGTGTTTCCCTTTGGATTAGGTTGGAAATTGTATTTCTTTGGAATCTGTTGGAGATTAATATGTTTGTGAGAGTGTGTAATTCAGTTTTCAGGTGGTCTTTGTTGGCTAGGCGTTTGGTTCTGGAGATGAGGGTCTTGGCTACGGAGTTGATCTGTGCAGGGTGGTGATGGGATTGTGCGTTTAAGTAGCGGTTGGTGTGTGTTTTTTTTTTTTGGTAGATGATGTGTCCTAGGGAGCCATTGGGTTTTTTGTAGATTAGGACATCCAGAAAGGGGAGTTGGTTGTTAGCTTCCATTTCCATCGTGAATTGTATTTTGGGGTATAGGCTGTTGAGATGTGTGAGGAAGTTGTCCAGTTTTTCTTTCCCGTGTGGCCAAATTACAAAAGTGTCATCTACATATCTGAGCCAGAGTTTGGGTTTGTGTTCAGATTTGTTTAAGGTGTTGGTTTTGAAGTGTTCCATGTATAGGTTTGCAATGACGGGTGAGAGGGGTGATCCCATAGGTGCTCCTTCTATCTGTTTGTATCTTTATCCATTGTGGATGAAGTATGTGTTGGTTAGGCAGTGGTTGGTCAGATTAGGATGTGCTTAGGGGGATTGTATTTGTTTTGGATAGCTGTCAAGTCTCCTTTGATAGGCACTTGAGTGAAGAGGGATGTGACATCAAAGCTCATAAGTAGGTCACTGGGTTGTAGGTTTTGTTTCTTTATTGTTTCTATGAAGACTTCTCCACTTCATAGAAACAAGACCTGCATACCTATGCCCGTGAAAATCTACAAAAACACGTATATATATACATATATACGTATATATATATATATATATATATATATATATATATACACACACACACACACACACACACACATACACACACTAAATTTTTGGATTGCTAACAAAGAATTAAGGGGGACTGGGATAGCTATTTCGAGCTGGTTAGCTCTCATCAGCCAGACATACCCTTCTGAGATTCGAACCTGGGCTCTTGTACGTTAGGCAGCTAGGCCATAGGCTCTTTCTCACTTTGTCAGCTGTATCAAGGAGGGAAGACACCAGGGGAGGAGATTTACCTTGAGTGTTGTTGTTTTTTGATGCACCCGGTAGGCCCAAATATGGGAGGAAGAAATCTTTTGCCTGTATCAGCTCAATCTAGAGCCATCCACAGGTAGCAGTCGCTTACTGCGACATCATTTGTATTTCCTAAATTTTTGGATTGCTAACAAAGAATTAAGGGGGACTGGGATAGCTATTTTGAGATGTATATACATACATACATACATACATACGTAGGTCTTCGGTTATTCGGGTTTTGTCCCGCGTCAAATTGGAAGTGTCTTGGCGACGTTTCGACGAAACCCCCACTAAAATCCAAGACAAAGAACAAGAAAACGGCAAAGCCCTCCTCCCTTACATAAAAGGCACCACAGACAGAATCAGCAAGATCCTCCACAAACACAACATTAAGACAGCATTCTGCACAAACAGAAAAATTATATATGTATGTATGTATGTATGTATGTATGTATGTATATATATATATATATATATATATATATATATATATATATATCCTTAATATCATTAAAAATGCAAATCCTGGGCATATCAATAAAAATATAAGAAAAACGAACACCAGGATAAAAATAAACAGGACCATTTAATATAAACAAGCCTGTGAGTAAAAAAGTTACTTACTTTTATCAGCCAAACTACTGACATCATCAGAGTTAGAATGCTAGGTGATTAGGGAGCTTGCCTATATACAGCTGCCTGTCTCTCCGCCCGGCTCCTCGAGCACATCATTGGCCCAGGGTCCACGAACATGAACTGGCAATCAAAAGGCAGGAGCAGCACTCGCAAGTGTGGGCTCACATGGCCAATTTGAACCATACATTCGATCTGGAAAATGCACAGACCATATCTCGTGTGACCACTAAGAGTGGCCGCCTTCTCAAAGAAGCCTGGTTTTTGGATGAAAATTCCATCAACCGGCACATAGACCTCCTACCAGCATACCAGACTCTCAGAAGATGGGAGAAACAACGTGGTAATCCACGGAGTAGATGGCCATCCCATATGGTCAAAAGCAAGACCATGGCTCTACAAATGGAGAAGCTGCGATCCCTAGGGAGGACAGCAAACTGGCAAAAGAGGAGAGGGGCTGGGTGACACCACAATGAGATAGCAACTGGCAAGACTGGAGTGACAGGGCTGCAGGTGCGGCAGCAAGAGCTGCTATGGGAGGAAATGACGAACGGCTTGGAAGGAGAGACAAAAAAGGAGGGGAGAGTATGAAGCAGGAACATCTGAATAGTTGTTCTTTGCAGGATCAGGGAGAGGGAGCTACAATCATCAGATCCACCAAAAGGCTGACGGATGAGAATCAATTTAACACATTGCAGAGTAACATAGCTAATGGGCCGATGACACGCTTGAGGAGCCGGGCGCAGAGACCGGCAGCTGTATATAGGCAAGCTCCCTAATCACCTAGCATTCTAACTCTGATGACGTCAGTAGGTTTGGCTGATGAAAGCTCAGTAAGTAACTTTTTTACTCACAGGCTTGTTTATATTAAATAGTCCTGTTTATTTTTATCCTGGTGTTCCTTTTTCATATATATATATGTATGTATGTATGTATGTATGTATGAATGTGTATGTATATATATATATATACGTTTAAGAAGATTAAAAACATGAATCCTGGGAATATTCATGGCAAGAAATAAAATGATCACCAGGATAATAAAAACTATAAAATTTATTAAAAAGCGCTTAGCTTTCGCCGTCACCTGCCGGCATCCTCAGGGCTAATGCACCAGGGAGTGAGAGAATCACTTTTAAAGGCATGTCAAAGTCTGCGCACGACTCCTCAGCCTCGTCATCGGGCCCGATTGGTATGACTGCGCACAAATGGTCTGTTCTTTCCTGTTCATTTCAATTGCGTGTTCATCATCATCCATCCTTCTTTCCCTTGGTCTTAGGGTGGATGGGTAAATATCTCTCTTATTATGGTGGTCCCTATGTTTTAACCCTTCCCCCCCGGGTTCAGGTAGTAATACACATTTTATGTTTGTTTTGTAATCCTCCTTCGTCCCATTGTTCTTCCTACGGCGAGTTTTTCCTTTGATTTCAATACTTTCACTTCTTATGCAAACGTCATCTGGATGATCTTGCAAGTCCTTCCGAAGTGGATGCAAACCACCGGTGGTCTGGGGCTGGGGGATAGGTTGTTCAGTCACGGGAGGAGGGGGTGGTTCCCTAGCTACCATTACGTCCAGCTGCTTTGCGCGTACTATACTGTGCTTAGTCAGTCCGGGGGGAGTGGCGGTGGAATTGTGTTTTCGCTCCCCCCCCTGGGTTCAGATGGCAATACACATCCCGTCCCTGTCTTGCACTCCCCCTTCGTCCCAT